AAATAAAAAAGATATAAAACATAAAGAAAAACAGCAACATGAGAAAATCAAGTCATTATGAATAATACTGTAAATGTAAATGGTTTTACTCTCCCAATTAAAAGGCAGAGATCGTAGACTGGTTTACAAAAAAAGCTACCTATATTATATCTAAAAGAAACTCACTTTAGCTCCTAAGACACACAGGCTTTGAAAGCAAAAGGATAAAAGAAGATATTCCATGCAGACAATAACCAGAAGAGAACTAGGGTACCTATCCTAACAACAGACAAAACAAAGTTAAAAATTGTAAGAGACAAAGAAGGGGATTTTATACTAATAAAAAGGCCAATCTATAAAGACAATATAATAATTACAAACATTAGCATACCTGACAGTAAAGTCCTGAAATATATGAATAAGAAATGACAGATTTGAAACAAGAAATAGACAGTTCCAAAGTAATAGCCAGAGATGTCAATATTTCACTTTCAATATAATTAGAAAAACTACACAGAAGGCCAATAAGGAAACAAAAAGCTTGATTAACACTATAAACCAACTAGACCTACCACATATACAGAACACTCCAACCAGCAACAGCTGAAATATATATTCTTCTTCAGTGCACATAAAAATAATTCAGAAGAGACCGTATGAGAGGCCATAAAAGAAGGAACAATACATCTAAAAGGATTGAAATAATAAAAAGTACATTCTCTGGTCACAATGGAATAAAACCAAAAATCCATACCAGAAGTAAATTTCCCAATAGGTGGAAATTAAACTATGAATCTCTCTCTTTTTTTTTTTTTTTTGGAGACACAGAATCTCACTCTGTTACCCCAGGCTAGAGTGCAGTAGCATCACAGCTCACATCTCTGCCTTTTAACTGGATAGTATAATCATTTACATTTAAACTACTAGACTCAAGCAATCCCCTTGCCTCAGTCTCCTGAGTAGCAGGGACTACAGGTGGCTCCCGCAACACAGGCTAACTTTTCTATTTTGAGTAGAGATAGGGTCTCACTCTTACTTAGGCTGGTCTCGATTCCTGAACTCAAGCAATCACCTGCCTCAACCTCCCATCTTAAACATCCAACAGTTAAAAAAGGAATCACAAGGGAAATTACCAAACACTTTGAACAAACAGAAAAACAAAACATAACAAAATTTAGGGTATGCAGTAAAGGCAGAGCTTAGAATAAAATTTATATCTCCATAAGCAGTGCTTAGAGAAAAATTTATAGCTATTAATGCCTACCTTCAAAAAGAATAATCTCAAATGAATAACCTAACTTTAAACCATAAGTCAAAAAAAGAGCAAACTAAACCCAAAGCAAGCAGAAAAAGTAATGAAGATTCAGTGAAGATAAATGAAACAGAGACTACAAAAACAAAAAAGACAAACGAATTCCCAGAAACACAAACTACAAAAACAGACTCAAGAAGAAATAGAAAATCTATTTCTAATAGAAAGAGACTTATAACAAGACTGAATCACCAAAATAAATAAATCTCCCCAAAGAAAAGTACATGACCAGATGGCTTCACTGGTGAATTCTGTCAAACATTTAAGGAACTGACAACAATTATTAACACCAATCCCCACTTCCCTCCCAAATTCTCGATTGTCAAAATACAAAACAGGAGGGAAAACTTCCTAACTCATTCCATGAAGCCCAAATTACCCTTAGATCAAAGGCAAATGCAGACTTCAACTTTAGAAGAAAACATCAAACCAGTATCCCTTGTGAATATAGATGAAAAAGTCCTCTTCAAAATTCTAATAAACTGAATCCACCATCTTATGAACAGAATTATATATAATGATCAAGTGTAATTTATTCCAGGAATACAAGGATGGTTCAACATATGATCACCAATAAAGGCATATTATCCTAATGGAATAAAAGGGGGGAAAAAACCAGATGATTGTCTCAATAGATATCAAAGCATTTGCAAAAACTAAAACTCTTTTATGAGAAAAATACTCATCAAAATAGGAAAAGAAGGGAGCTTCCTCAATATAATAAAGGTCATACATGAAAAATCCATAGCTAACATCATTCTCAATGGTGAACTGAAAGACTGAAAGCTTTCTTCCTAAGGTTAGGAATGAGAATGCCCATTTTTTGCCACTTCTATTGAACATTAATTATACTGGAAGTTCTCACTATAGCCATTAGGAAAGAAAAATAAATAAAAAGCATCCAAATTGGAGAGCAGGAAGTAAGGTCATCTCTATATGCAAAAGACATGAAATTAAATGACATAATTTTAGTAGAAGTCCTTTAGGTTTCCACAAGAAACCTAAACTGTTAGTGTTAATGAACTCAGCAAAGTTGAGGGATACAAGATCAACATGAGAAAATTATTTATGTACTTCCACGTTCCCAGTGAAAAATCAAAAAAAAAAAATTAAGAAAATAATTTTACATACAATAACATCAAAAAGAATAAAATATTTACTAAACTTCATAAAGTCTCAAGGGACCCCAAATAGCCCGAACTATTTTGAAAAAATAAAATTACAGGTTTCACATTGCATGCTTTCAAAATGTATTACAATGGTATACTGAATCAAAATGGTATGGTAATGGTATAAATATAGACATAAAGCCCAATGGAACAGAAAAGAGGGCCCAAATGTAAATCCTCAAATACATGGCCAAATGATTTTTCATGAGAGTGCCAAGAACATTAAATGGGGAAAAGATCATCTTTTCAATAAAAGGTATTGTAAAAACTGGATATTCACATACAAAAGAATGAAGGTAGCCTCTTATACCCTATACAAAAATTAACTTAAAATAATCACAGATCTAAACGTAAAAGTTGACTTGGCACCCATAGCTCAGTGAGTATGGGCACTGAGGATGGCAGGTTCAAGCCCAGCCCGGGCCTGCTAAACAACAACAACTGCAACCAAAAAATAGCTGGGTGTTGTGGTGGGTGCCGGCGGTCCCAGCAACTTGGGAGGCTGAGGCAAGAGAATCGCTTAAGCCTAAGAGGTGGCTGTGAGCTGTGACACCACAGCACTCTACCAAGGGTAACATAATGAGACTGTCTCAAATAAATAAATAAATAACTGTAAAAGTTATAATCACAAAACTCTTAGAAGAAAACATAGGAGAAAACCTTCATGACATTAGATTTGGTAATCATTTCTCAGGTATGACACCAAAAACACAGGGAACAAAAAAATAGATAAACTAGACTACATCAATATCAAAAACTTCTACATATCAAAGAACACAGTCTACAGAGTTATTGTGAAAGAAGCAACCTATAGAACACGAGAAAGTATTTGCAGATCATATATCTAGTAAGGGGTTAACATCCAGAATATACAGAAAACTCCTATACCTCAATAACAAAAACTAGCAAACAGCCAGATTTATATGAAATAACCACAAAAGAAAAACTCACAGAGTCAGAGAGTAGATTATTGGTTGCCAGGGGCTGGTGGGAAGGGGGAATAGAAAGTCACTACTTAATGGGTATGGGGTTTCCACTGAAATGATGACAAATTTCTAGAACTAGACAGTGGTGATGGTTGTTAAAACTGAATGTACTCAATGCTATTGAATTCTAAATGGTCAAAATGGAAAACTTTGTTACATTTATTTTACCCCTCAACACGCACAAACCTTCTACCTATATCCTTTTCCCATCTTCCCTGTGGAACAAAGGCCTTACTGCTGTGTCATTCCAAATTCTTGACTTACTTAAAAAAAAAATTGTATTATTTCCAAATGTAATCACTGTCATTTAATATCTACCAAAAATTTAATCATTAGAAATAAAAATGATTAGATGTCTGAACACCTTGTGTCTCCTTTTCTAGTGGTGTCCAATTTTTCTGATCATGTAATCCTACTGAAAAAATATTTTTGAGTGCAAATTGCCAAAATAGATATTTATTTATAAATTATGTCACTATTGTACTCATTTATTATAAAATATACCAAAAAAACCTTAAGGTCAAAAAATGAGTATGAATTCTAATATTTTTCTTTCCATACTCCAATGACCCATTTTGCAAGCATCCCTCTTTGGAGAGCACTTCGTACATATTCTAAATTTTACTTATGGGTTAAATCAATGGTCTGCATTTATGGCCTGTTAAGATCTGTCTTACTAATCCCCTAAGGAATTCCTTAATTCCTTTATATGACATAATTTTAGTAGGAAGTCCTTTAGGTTTCCATAAGAAAAACTGTTAAAGTTTTTCTTGGCCTTATGTTATAGAACTACCTTAAGGATAGTGTACAAGATTCTGTTACATTGTGGTGCCTTCCTTATAAAGAGAGATGAGAGAAATTTCTCTTAGATTGTTATACCAGAAATATCTGTAATATTTTGGAAATTTTGGTTTGCTTTTAAATATAAAATGTAATTTATCACAAAATTCTGGTAACACTAAGTACCAGAAAACATAAGGCCAAATTTATAGCTCATTTCTAGCAACCACAGCCACAAGTGTATTTATCTCCCTTCTGGCTTCAACTTGTCTTCTCATCACTTAGAATTCTTCATTTATTTATTTTTTAAAAAATCATGTTGTGTCTCACTCCAGCTTTGATTTTTCTATCATCCCAATTCAGTTTTTTTTTTTTAATTATTTAGTATTAATTATAGGTGTGTGTGTGTATTTAAAAGCACTTCGAAAGACAGGGAAGAATGAATAAAAAACAAACAAAAACCAGGCAATATTGTTCAGAATAGAGGTCATTCTAAACTTGAAGCTCCCCCACATCAAGGTTATACTTTGCAGATTCTGAAGCATCTAGTAGCAAAGCCCTTTGTTCAAAAGGTAAATTGTAAATGAGTGTTGAAGAAAAGAATGACAACTCACAATAGCACTGTACTACACTTTCTCACTCTTTTCCAGTTGATAAGAAATGTTATAGTGAGGAAAGGGCAAATGGCTTTTTTTTTTCACCTGTGTGCAAAGGTTAATTAAAAGTCCATGAAAAAGGCAGTCACATTGCCAGATGCAATTTGTAGCCATGTACCTGGATGCGTCTCCTTCTGGAGTACTCAGAAGTCATTAGGGGATGGCCAATATTCAATGCTTTCCTGCTGTGCTTGCAACGCTTCTCAAGGAATCTTCTCTGTTGATTGGTGACGCTGCTATATAATTTAACTTGCCTGGGTGACAAACATACTCTTTCCTGGCCAAAAGCGTGGATCAATCTGGCAGTGTCAATGGTAGAAATAGAGCTACTCCTTTCATGCAAAGCTATCTCTCTATCTGTTTGGGTTAAGATGTCTGATTCCGCAGAAGTGGGGCTGGAAAGAACATTGGTAGGAGTATCTGTGAGTACCTCACTCTCTTCTGAAGTTCTAGAATCTGATGAAGTGTTGCTTTTATAATTGAAACCTGGCTGTTTTCTCAGAATGTACTTATCAAATTTAACCTGTTCAATTTTAATCTGGTTGGATTTTCCAGCTACATGAGCAGAAAGAGCCTTACTTTTTTTAAGATCTCCTGTGATTTTACGACTTTTCTCTAGGCTTTTATACCGCTTCTTTTTCTGAAGTTTGTTTCTCTGCTGTTTACCACTCCACTCCTTAACACCTGGTTCCCCTCTGCTATCATCATGTGTACTTTCTGAGGCCTGGAGAGAATGTGTGATGGGATTCTGAAGAAGTCTAGCCAACCGATCAAGTCGCTCCACCAAGGATAATTCTTTCTTGTCACTCAACTCGGGTGGTTTCTGTTGCTTCTGTCGCTCCAGATACTTGTTCCAGAGTTCATTTAAACTCTTAGTGGGCAGAGTTCCCAGCTCTGGGGTGACCTTATGATCTCTTTTTGGATCACTAATTTGTCTGCTATACTGTGGATGATCTTTAGCCTGACTTTTAGTAGTATGTATTACTTCTTTGTTTCCCAAGTTCCCATTGATGCTGAGGCTCTTTACTCTGGTATAATCTGTCTTAGTCTTGTCCACATTTTGATAAGAGGGAAGAAAACAGGAGTGTTCTTTATGTTTGTCTGGATGCTTCTGAAAGAAATCTTTCAAAGATCGCCCCATGAAAACACTCTTTCCCAAAGATTCATGAGAAATGTCTTGATCAGTGGGTAGGTGCACTGGATGATGAATGTAAAAGTTGGCTGACTTGAAGACAGAATGGGTAGTATTTTCAAATTCTGAATGACCTTCGGACTCTGAAAAGGAAAAAAAGAGTTTGAAAGAAATTAAAAATATTTGCATTCCTTTGGAAATACTATTCATACTTAATTCTTTACGTACAGAACAAAGACTAAAGGAATGAAAAGTTTAATGTACAGTGTCACAAAATTCACTGCCTGTACAAAGGAGTCATGCCTTAGGCTGAGCAGCCAGACTAGTACACTAAAAGTTTAACATATTTCTAGGTCAAAAGACATAGATACCAGGCTGGACTCTGCCACTGACCTGCTATATGACCTCAAGGAGGGTACTTTAGTTCTCTTTAGCAGTACTAAAAGCAGCTGCTATCTGTTTTTATTGCCTACTATGTGTGAGGATATTATAATATGTGCTTTATATTTGCTTTTAAAAATACATATATATAATCCTGATAATAAATTGAAAGATAGGTATTGGTAAACCCATTTTCACCTAAGAAGCCTGAGACCTCATTTTCAACATCAGTAATTAAAATTTTAAAAAAACTTTTTACATGTTTTCAAGCCTTTTAAAATTCTTTTTCTATAAACTATCTTCATTTTATTTCCAATTTTTTTATAGTGGTAAAATACACATTGACATAAAATTTACCACTTTCTAGCTCCATTTTTTGACAACCATTACCCTAGATCAAAATTTTTAGATATAATAATATCTGACAATTTTCTATGATTTTAATCTTTGTGCTCCTCTAAAATTTAGGTTGAAACTTAATCCTCAAGACAATGCTATTAAGAGGTAGGGCCTTTCCCTTTGTGAATGGGATCAGTATCCCTGTGCAAGGGCTAAAAAGAGGCTGTTTGGCTTTTTTCCACCTTTCACCATGTGAGGATACAGCACAAAGCACCATCTTAGTAGTGGAGACTGGGCTCTCAGCAGACACTGAATCTGTTGGCGCCTTGATCTTGGACTTCCCAGCCTCCAGAACTGTGAGAAATACATTTCTATTATTTATAAATTACCCAGTCTATGGTATTTTTGTCACAGCAGCAGGAATGGGCTAAGACCCAATCATAAACCCTAAATTTATACTCTAATATGGGAGCAATTGTTTTTTGGAATTCCACATCATGGACAGAAGCAAAGACATATGCAATTAGCTATGGGACCATTTTTATCTATACTATAGATCACTAGCAACCAGAATTTTCATTAAATACTCTAGGAATCCCTATGGATTTTCCCAGAGTATAGTGAAAATACATGGAATCCGCTTTTATACTTAAAGTATAAAAGACGAAGACACTAGAAATTTAGAATTATCTAGCAACATTTAAAAATTGGGAGATTTCACTTTGTTTCTATAAGATCTTGAGACTGCAGCTCCTGCATTAAACAAATACATGAAAAACAAATATATAATTACAAATGATAATATTATGTGTAGCAGAAAACCAAGGTGATAGAAGAACAATTTAAATAGGAAAAGGTAGTTCAAGAAGGTTTATCTATAGGCTGAAATATGAAGTAAAAATGAGAGCTAAACAAACCAACAACACCTATTACGTGAAGAACACTCTGGGCAGAGGGAGCATCATGTGTGGTTGCCCTGAGGCAACTGCTATCCATGCCACTCCACCTGTTCCTACAACCTTTTTTGGATACAGAGGCAGAACCATCCTTCCTTCTTTTAAATGCAAGCCCCTCTACTGGTGCTCTGGAGGCCAACTCATCTTTCAAGACTTTGATTCTTTTTCCTATCCTGTCTTATGTCTCCAGGTTCTCCCCTTCTAAAAGAGACTTTCCAACAACATGAAAGCATTATTTAGTATATCATATCTTTAGAAAACCCTCACATCTTCCTCTAGGCACTAGCCCAGTGGTTCTCAACCTTCTTAACACCACGGTCCTTTACTACAGTTCCTGTGGTTTGTGACCCCACAGGTTGAGAACCACTGCACTAGCCCATTTCTTTGTTTCTCTTCATAGCAAAGCTTATAAAGTAGGAAATACATATTTTCCTCTTCTTTACCTCTTTTCCTACCCTAACTCACTCTTCAAATTACTTGAGAGTACAGTCATACTACTGGACTAAAACTGCTTTTACTAGTATGATCAAGGATCTGCATGTATGGTCAATATCAGCAGATGTTCTCATTCTACATTCTCTTCCTGGGTGATCTTACCTCTTCCTGTAGTACCATCTCCATGCTGTTAACTACTCTCAAACTTACGTTTCAAACTATGATTCTTCTGTTGAGCTCCAGATTCATATACTCAACTTTATACCGGTTATTTCTACTTGGCCACAGCCATCTATATTTTAAATGTCCCAAACTAAACTCCGTTCTAGCCTCCTATAGAACTATACCTCTCTCAGTCTTCTACATCTCTGTAAATGGCACATCACCCTATTGCCCAAACCAAAATCTGGGAGTTGTTCTTGTACTTCCAACTCCCTTTTCTTCCTGTTCCTGCCATTAATCCCACACAAAATAATCACAAATCCATCCAATTCTATTTCCTCTCACAGTACTGGATGTCTCTAATAGACTTCTGTCCTTCCTTGTCCTTTTCTCAACTATTCTTCAAATAGTAGTCAAAGTAATTTTTAAAAAATGTAAACAGAACCTGTCATCTACTTAGCAATTTTCAATGGCTTTTTATTACACATAGAACAAAATCCAAATTCCTTAACAAGGCACAAAAGTAGTATATAACTTTCCTTTCTCTTTGTATACCACTCTCCTTGGCAATGGTATTCCCCTGTTTAGAATGGTAGACTTCAACCCTATAATTGAGGAGAACGTGCAGACCTCTTCCCCACTTCATCACATAGCAGGAGCAAAGAGGCCTATGAGTGGGAAAGCACTGAATAAATAAAGGAAAGTATAATTTTTCAGTGTGTGCTGCTCATACAACTTATAAAATAGAAGAAAATAAAGGAGGAAAGGTTATTTCAGATCAAGTTCTACAGAGCCTGGAAAACTAGGTTAAGAATTTTAGTTTTTATTCTTAAAAGAAATGAAGAGCCAGTATACCATTTTAAACAGGGGAGTACCATAATTATAGCTTATTTCACAAAGAATACACTCAAAGAAGTAAAATAATAGGAAACTAGATAACATGACTCTAAAATATGTTTGTCTTATTATCAGTATTTTTAACCAACACAGTCCCCCTGACTTGGGAGTGAAGTAAAATATATAAGGAATAGTAGAAAATAAGCAAATTGAATTTCTTAAGTTTAAAGAGCTCTATAGAACAACAGAACACTACCTCATGGCACTTTGTTACAAGCAAAGGTCAAACTAGTTGAGGTGGTTATTTACTTCTGATGATGAAATTAATTTTATACACATTTGCAAAATTCCTCTAAAGTACATCAAAACACACTGAAAATATTTACTTTTTTTAAAAATTAAACATACAAAATATCCAAATAACATGGAAGAATTTAAGGTGAAAAATAAAAGCCCTCCTCCCCCACTGTCCCTGAACCTCCTAGTCCTACTTTCTAGTGATAACCACTAAAAAACAAGTTTTCTTATGTCCATTAAAATTCCTGCCTAGTAGTACAAAAATATTTGTTCAAAGAAAGATACTCTGCAGAGTGGTGCCTATGGCTCAGTGAGTAGGGCACTGGCCCCATATACTGAGGGTGGCGGGTTCGAATCCAGCCCCAGCCAAATTGCAACAAAAAATAGCCAGGTGTTGTGGCAGGCACCTGTAGTCCCAGCAACTTGGGAGGCTGAGGCAAAAGAGTTACCTAAACCCAAGAGCGGGAGGTTGCTGTGAGCTGTGACGCCACTGCACTCTACCAAAGTGAGACTCTGTCTCTTAAAAAAAAAAGATATTATGCATATACAAAACATTATATACAAACTGATTTGATATACCATAATTTAACTAGGTAATTAATTGGGTTGTTTGCAATTGTTATTCTTCCACAGTATGCTGCAGCAAACATCTAAATGTGTGTGTGTGCATATGAGCGAAATTTTATTTTTCTGGGTACAGTTTATCCGTATATCTACAACTACTTAAGTGGAAATGCTGTGCGAAAGGGAAAATTCATTTCCATATGAGTTAGATATTGCCAAATTGTCCCATACCTTCAAAAACGGTGCAACAGGCTTGGCGCCTGTGGCTCAAGTGGCTAAGGTGCCAGCCACATACACCTAAGGTGGCAGATTCGAATCCAGCCCGGCCCGCCAAAACAACAATGGCTGCAACCAAAAAAATAGCCAGGTGCTGTGGTGGGCGCCTGTGGTCCCAGCTACTTGGGAGGCTGAGGCAGGAGACTCGCTTGAGCCCAGGAGTTGGAGGTTGCTGTGAGCTGTGATGCCATGACACTCTACCCAGGGGGATAGCTTGAGGCTTTGTCTCAAAAAACAAAACAAACAAACAAAAAACGGTGTAACAAATCTGTACTTCTAACAATAGCCTATGGGAGTATGTGAATGTTTCTCCATGTATTCAACTATACTAAGGATCCAAGTCTTTTTATGGGAGGGTGAGGGAGCAGGGGAGGAAGGAAAGTATAAAGGGAGGATGAAGGGTTATTGCCAAGTTCTCACCTAATATGCACAAAGTAAGGGTATACAGTACACCTGCTGGGTGAAGGGCTCAACTACAACTTGAACTTTATCTCAGAACCAAAAACAATGTAATCTAAACATTTGTACCCAGATATCAATCTGAATTTAAAAAAAAAAAAAAGAAAAAATTTTTTCATCTGTGCTATTCTGATAGGCGAGATAAAATCCATGGTTTTAACATATTTAATTACTAAGAACGTTAAGTATTGCTTTATACGTTTTAATAGCCGTATGTATTTTTACCGTAAACTTTTAGTTCATGTTGGTTGTTTTTCTATTGTCTTTGATTTGTAAAAAGCTCTTTGCAGAGTAAGAAAACCAGCCCCTTTTCTGAAGTTTCTCAATTTCTTAAAACTGTTTTCCCACTTTCCATTTACAAATTTTCATAAATTGACTTTGCAATATTTCCCACCATGAAGAAACTTTAATATGTAGATACATATATCAAATCTTTT